AAAAGAATTAGTAGGCAATATCAGGTGTCATGTTGGTGTTGAGCTTTGTGACCTCCCACATGTCACGTGTTCGAATATACGTTGAGAGGAGAGAAGGGTAAAGTAAAGGGTTAATATGAAATCATAAATGTCAAAAAAAGTAAGGCTTCCAATTAACAAAAGCCATCCATACTATATTTGTATATGCCATTTGAGGGGAAATAATTAAAAATGATCCTTGAAGGATAAAACATACCCAATTAAAAATAATCGTTGAAGGATCCAACATACCCATCCAATCATGATACATAGTTTTTCAATTCTCTCCTGCTTAAATTATGCCGTGAGGATTTAGATTATCATCATCCTCCGCATCAAATTTTGGTAGGTAAAGTTCTATAATATTTCTTACGACAAGATCTTTATTCAAATTTTTCTATAATCTGATGATTCTAAAATTATAAAATGTAGATTAAAAATTACTTTAAATCTCCTATTTATTTAAAAATGTCATGTTATATTAAATTCTAATTATAGTTCACTATAGTTTCTTCCAAAATTCTTATTAGCCAGGGAAATATTTACACATAGGTCTATTTGATATCTTTATGTAATTATATTCTCTGGTTGTTAGTTTCTACCAATACATTTATGTAACACATATCTGGCTGTAGGCAATTGTGCAATGTTTCATTGTACTTCTAAATTAACTATCTGGTCCTTTATAAAGCCTAATGATAAAAAACTTGTCAAGAAACTTACTTTCCAAGTGTTAAACTATTGACCCTACAAGTTTCATTATATAGTCTTACTAGTTATAATAGTAATTTTAATTGATTGTTAAACATAATTATACTTTGTAAGGTCCTTTAACTTAAATTTTGTTTACTAAAATAAATGGAACACCTGTTTCGAAATTAAAATTAGAGAACACTTGGTCAAATAATAAAAAAATCTCTTCATAGGTGCAAGATATTACATTAATTGGCTGAAAAAAAGATAGGCAAATGGGGAGTGATATGAAGGCAAAAAGTTCAAATTCTTAATGAAATGATATGGGAATATCATTCAAAGACCAAAGTAATTATTTATTTTTATTTGAGGGTTAAATAAATGTAAAATATCACTATAGAACTAAGAAATTAAATTAAAATTATATTTTGTTATTAAATTATACCCTTAAAAATGCCACATTCCCCTGTCATAGTGGTTGCCACTGCTAATGACACCCGGAGCCCATCTCAGGATTCAGCACGTTGGCTCATTGGCTCAATGGCTCTTAGTTATATAATTGATAGTTCTTATTATATAAATATATAATAAACTTAGCCTCAAATCATTTAAAAAAATTGTTTTTTTGCACCATTTAAAAAATTGTTAATGTCATAAGAGTAGTTGGGTGCTATTTTGCACAAATACTGATGCATGTCAATACTTTAGTTTTTAAAAATATAGGATACAATATACTTTTGATACGAGCACACACACATATATATAATCATAAAACACATGAAAATTATAATTTTAATTTAAAAAATATTCAAATTGACATACATATATAGTTCTTTATAGTAATTACAATCAAAACATAATTATTAATTATACTTTTATTCTATTTATACTTAATTGTCTACCACCCAATTCTACTAATAGGTATAGTATCAATATTTCTTCCTCCTTGACCATTATCCAAAAAAAAAAGATAGCTTTTATATTTGGTTCTATTTATAACTTACTTAAGGTTTATAAACTTACATATAAGAAGATTACATTCCCCCATTTTTATAATCAAGGAAAATGTAATATTAATTTATTCTTTTATTATATTCACAACTTTTTTTTAAGAAAAATCTAATTTTTGACTTTAAAAGCAAATCAAAAAGGTATTAGTAATAAAAATTTTAGTAATACAATGTTTAATAAAATTTAATTTCTTAAAAAAAATAGAGTATCAAATTTGAAGTATTGTCTTGTAATTTAAAAGTATCAAATCTATATTGTAAATTAAATTTTTTTAAATTAAAAAATAGTATTTCAATATTTTATAGATACATATTGACAAAATATTGGTGAATATCAATATTAAATACAATATCGATACAAATAAATAAGATAATTTAAAGTATTGGTGTTTCATAGGTCAGGAAATGGGAGAAAAGGGACTTTTTCTCCAAAAAAAAAGTTTGAAGGATGTATTTTGCAATTGATCAGCAAAATTTAATTTCAATTTAGTCTACTTCAAATTTATTCAATTTTTAAATAAAAATAAATAACTACGTGCAAAAAATATTACTTGAACGACATTCTTCCAAGAAGATATATAATAAGGGAATAATTCTTTTTTTCAAAGTCTAAGGAAAAGGAAGATCACATAAATGATACTTATCACTTTTTTATATGTTATGCATTATATTCCCGCTGATTATTTTTCCCTCTATTTCAAAAATATAAAATATTTTTTTAAGATTGAATATTAAAAAATATTTTTTTTTAATTTTCAATATGCAACTAAGAGTATTTTTTTTAAAAAATAATCATAAAAAATAAATCATTCAACTATTCATTTTTAACTAAGATTTCATTTGGGATGAATGTTTTATTTTATTAATAAAATTTATTGATACATGAGATTTTATTTAAAAATTTTATAATTCAAAATGAAGGAAATATTTTATTTCATTAATTTATTCTCATTTCATGCATTTTTTAAATTAAATAATCACGGCCTGGTTTGATATGAAATTGAAGGTTATGTTTGAGATTGACATTGAAAAAGGCCTAATTTAATATGTTTGGTATGAAGGATTAAATCTCACTTGGATTTGCTTGAACCCATTTGGATGGGATTACTTAAACTCAACCCTAAGCTATTGGGAAACTAATCTTGGGATTGTAAATTTTTTTTGACAAAACTATCTTAGTTATAATAATTTCTGGACAAAAGTGCCCCTCAAAAATTTGCCCTGCAACAGATAACGCAGCAGAGCATGATCTCTATCACATCCTCATTCTCGCTCCGTTGATCTCCTCTATCACTCTGTTGATCTACTTTGTCTCGCCTTTAGGTACATGCTTGTCCAACACCCGTCTTGCTTTTAGGGACTACTCCATCAATCTATTGCGTTGTGAAACTCGCTCCGTTAATCATGGGTGTGCTTTGTATTTGTTTCTTCAATTCGTATATGCTATGTAAGGGTGTTCACGGGACAGGATGGAACCGGGGCATCCTCATCCCGTGTCTAGCCTCGAAAAAAAATCAGGACTGAATTTTGGTCCCGTGTTCCGTCTCGTCTTGGAAGTCATCCTATCCCGTTAGGGGTCGGGACGAGATCGAGACAAGATTAGGACGTCCCGCTGTCCCGATAAAGTGAATAATATTGGAAAAAGATCTAGATAATAACGTTTATTAAAATTTTAAATCATATAATTTATTAAGTTTAAAATTAAAACAATACAAGTACATAAATCATAACAATTTAAAGTCAATTATTGAATTACATTAGTCACAACTACACATTGTAATAGCAAATATAAGTGATCTTTAAGCTATAAGAGTAGCAACAACAAGCAAGTCAAGTACAATATCAAATCATTATTCTTCTACTTTAGTGAAAATGTGCTAAGCTAATTATTTTCCTAAAAATAAAGCAAGAAATTCATTATAAATAAAAGTTATTAAATAGATAGATATAAGAATAAATTATATTAATATAATTAATATATTATAAAAAAAGATATCATTAATTTTACTCAATGTCATTAAAATTATCAATATAAAAAAATTTTAGTTTTAAATAAGAATTGCAAATATTGAAATCATAATTAATATAATTAATGTAAGTATAAATTATATTAATATAATTAATATACTTAAAATAAAAATAATATATATATTATTCGGGATGGGACGAGATGTCCCGATGGTAATCTTATGTTTCGTCCCGTCCCGAACCTTTTCCTGTCCTATCCTGTAAAGTCCCATTCCGATTATTTTTGAGTCGGAACGAGACCCGTTCCGATATGATCGGGACGATACCAAACTAATCGAGACGGATTTAAGCTGAACACCCTTAATGCTATGTTCATTTATACCTGCCCCTCTCTCTCTCTCTCTCTCTCTCTCCACCTCCTCTAGCTGATTTTATTATTGTTTCTTCAATTACGTTTCATGTTGATTGCTGTTCATTTTTCATTTTCTTACAGAAAATGTTTTTGCCCATTCCATCCGCGTCTACATTACAAAATGTTTAACAAAAAGTCACAATGAGGCTACTTGTTTCTCTTTGACAATTTTGGCGGCAGAGAAAGAGCTCTAACAGATGACGCGAAAATAAATTCGTTTTAGGATCAACTTTTTTATATATTTTATATCTTATATGGAAAATATTATTTGTACAAAAAATGCATGTGGAGCCTCATGTTTTAACATTATCCTTTAAGGAGGCGGTTTCAATGTTAAGATTTAATTTCCTTTATATTTGAGATTGTGTTATGATTTCATTTAAGAAGATTGTTGTGTTTGTGATTTTTGGTTAAACAGTGATCATTTTTATTTGATTGTATATATTAAATATTAATTTTTTTATACATTTATATAATTGGTACATAATTATGGTACTATTTAAAAAAAAAAAGAGAATATTACTGTTTGTTTCTATCATGGCACCAACAAAGATTATGCTAGACTTCTCAAGTCTTATTTATAGAATAGAGAAAAAAAAATTTTTTAATCCTATTTATAAGTCATGTCATTAAATTTTATAATAATTTTTTTTTACTTTCTATTAAATGTTGGGGAGAGAAAATATGTTGTTAAAATATGTATATTTAATAAGAGTAAAGTTGAGAATTTATAAAATTTTAAAATAGAGTTAATGAGTTTTAAAATTTTTTTTTGATACTTATAAAATATATTAAAAATAATTTATAAATAAAATTAAAATAAATATATATCATCTTATGCTTTATATCAACCTTTTCAAATAGTTCAAAAGGAGGAAACAAGCACAGGTCACAGAGAAGCAAAAGGGAGAAAATGCAAGCCAGCCAAGGTAAGGTGAGAGCCAAAGACGCACTTACCGAGCGATGAAGTGACGGAGAGCAGTGGAGGAGAGAAACACGATGATGGAGCTTCAAACAGAAGAAGGAGATTTGCAAGTTGGACAAAAACAAATGTATGAACAAAATCTATAAGCCACAGGATAAACAAAACCTTGATAAACCAAAGGATGAAATTCTATTGCCATTTTTCTTGTGTGATATTAAATTATTGAGTAATTCTATCAAAGGGTGTGCTTGGGTTGCGAAGGAGAAGAGAGGGCGTCGCGACTTCAAAGTGAGGGATGAAATTGTAGAGCTGAACTGAAAGAGCAAGAAAAGAGAGTTTCTGACAAACGCAAATACATTGGCGAATCCTCTTAAGCTGCAGTGCTGCTGCACCAGGTATCTTCCACTTGACCTACTTCTCGTCGTTTCTTTCCGATTTATCTCTCTCTCTCTCTCTCTCTCCATTTTCAGACGCTTAGCCAGCTTCCACTGTATTGTCTCCGTTAAAACTCGTCTGTCTCTTACATTTCTATGAAATTTTGGTTGCTTGATCGCCTCTTTAGGTGACTTCCATATTTTTGATGAAATGCTGCACTCAGGATTTGCATATTCCATTGTATTATTTAATTTCATGCTCCATTTTCGTTGTAGGATATAGGTACCTCTTTTGAATTTCTGCGCCGAAGACTTACCAGAAAGCAACCATGGATGGTACGTGACTTCAGGAACTCTGTTGTTGAATTTTACTTCGGCGTTCTTAGAGATTAGAGCTGTGGCTTGTTTCCGCATCTTGTTTGACCCTGATTGTGCATTTGATTTAAGAATTCTTCATCTTCACGAGTAGACGATACCTCCGATTCTTTTGTTAAAGATGGTGTTCATGTAACGGATAAGTTTCGTAATGTAGGATAGGAATATCATATAAGTATGCAAAGTTTTAGATGTCTGAGCTGTACCATGTGAAGTTGTCATGTGTACGGGCACGCCCGTATATGTGCTTAAGAAACGGTATTATATTTCAGTTTTTATCAACTTCATAGATGTGTTTCACTTTAACAATTGTTTTTAGATGAAATTTTCAGCATCTACTGAAATTCAGAACTTGTTTTTCCCCCCACTTTGTGAAAATGTCTTGATTCTTGGGAAGTTTGTACGACATTCATCAACTGAGTTTGAGGCATGTGTCACCACCAATATCCTTATGGACCTGGCTAGGGAACCATTAATACTTTCGATTGGTTTTCAATTATTATTTTTCATTGACTTCAGCATAGATTCTTTAGTTGTGTTGAATTTATCTTGAAGATATGTTTGTTGAAAAGTGCATTGCCAAATACCAACCCAAGCACAGCCTTTGATAGAATTACTCAATAATTTAATCTCACACAAGTAAAATGGCAATAGAATTTCATCCTTTGATTTATCAAGGTTTTGTTTTTTTACTATTAATGAACTGTTTATATATATTTTGATAACCTTCCATGTGTAGAATATCATCCTGCTGTTTAGAAAGATTTAATTTTTTACAATTAATGAACTGTACCTGATCAATATGTTTAAAACTTTCTGCGTGCTTCAGTTGATTCACAGCCAACTATGGAAGAGACAATATTGGTTGGCGATGATCTAATGATGGGGCCTCCATCACCTCTAGTCCCGCCAGAAATAGCCTCCCATGTGCTTGAAGGTGTTGATTTGTGTGATGGAATCCTGAGGAACCTGTTTTTGTGTAAGTACTGATGTTTCCTTTGTTAGAAGGTGCAGCTCTTTCTATAGAAAATTACTTCCTGGTGTAAAACCCAGTTGCTAGTAGGGGTAAAACCTGGGAGGGTGACTACATTGTTTCACTCCTGGTTGTTCTGGAGCAGATTAGATACCTATAAATTATTTCTCTCCAGCTGTGGCAAAAGAGTGGAGGCTACTAGGCTGTTCTATATTTTACTGACCAATAATGTCTTGAACATTTTATAGGTTAAAGTTCATTGAGAGAGAAAAGAAGTACAAATACGAAGAATTAGCAATCATCCTAAAGCAGGGGGAAAAAAACTAGTAAAGATCAGATCAAAAAAGCAACCAGTCGCTGAGCATGATTGGCAAATTGACTCCATTGAAAACATCATGCAGAAACCCACTTAGAGGCAGGGAACGACCATGTTCGATACAAGTGTTGGAAGAAACTTTGAGCTAGAATTCTATTTTTGTTCAGTCTTTGTGCACCAGATGCCAAGCAAAAATAGGACTCCCAAATTGTACACATTCAATGCCCTCCAAATAGCCTGAACAAACAAATGCCTTAACCTCCTTAATAATTTAAATATTTGAAAATCAATGTCAATTATTATGATTTTTCTTTCTTTCTTTATTTATTTGGGAAAATACTACTGAATTTATTTAAATTTTGTAGGCTTGCAAATCAATGACATTGAACCATTCTGTCAAGATGAGATTGCTCTGTATCGCCAATGCGCTGAAAGGAGGGTGAGATAACCGTGACAGATACGCTTCACTCTCAATGGCTTCATCTTCCATTTTACTGTGCTCTCTCTTATTTACAGCCACCTCCATTTCCTTTTACAGCTCTTGAACATGTTTGCAGTAATTTTTTCACTAGCGGCTTGGAAATGGAGGTGTAAAAGGAAAATAAGTTTGTATGATATGCTGTTCCATGTTTTTGTCATTTGGTAAAAATTATATGCAGGATAAGGAGATAAGAAAACGTCATCTAGATAGTGAATGTAAATTGGGTTCATCCATGCCTTTAGATGATGCAAAAGAAAGGGCTATTCAGCTTGAATCAGAAGTTACATCATTGGAAAGGTATATTAAAATGCTCCCTTTGTCCTAAATTATAGGACAATTTGAAACAAGATTACGCATATCAATAAAACACAATAATAACACTTTACAAACTTATTTTTTCAAAATAAAACTATAAACTTTCAAAAATACCCTACACACTTAATTATTATACTATAATATCATTTCAATTCTCTCTCCACTTAAAGGGTAATACTAGTAAAATATCATTAACGAAACTTTAATTTTCTCAAATTGTCTTATATGTTAGGACAATGAAATTCCTCCAAAGTTATCTTATAATTTGGGACGGAGGGAGTAGTATTTTACTAAAGAGATGGAAACTAAGCTTATATTTATGAATAACTTGAGAAAGCTTTTGTTATTATTACAAATAACAAATTTTGGGAGTGGCTTCCGTCAACATGATGGTGGTGGTGGCTGTTGTTGTTTATCAGCTTATTGAAATGTTTTGCTTTTCACTATAAAGGCACCATGCCACTTTTTTCTTTTCTAGTAGTGTTTATTGATCCCCAATTGGACTGAAGATTATAAATTAAATTCAGAATTCAGTAATCATGTTGATTTTTTTTTTTCACACCAGCAACAAATCTAAGGGCTTTACATTTTTGAGGTTTGTCATGAGTTTGCATAGTGCAGATGCTTTTAATGTATCATGTATATATCCCTGGAAACTACAAAAGGTGCCCTTTAGTTTCCCTATGGTTTTCGTTCTTTCTGCTGGGCATTTGGTAAGGATGTTAAGGGATTCCTTTTCCATCGCATTAAAAATGAGATATAATACATGTTATGGCTTTATTATCATTACTTAACAGTAACTATGTTTTTCTGTTATTATTTTTCCCATTCAGGAGCACACACTACTTTGTCAATCAACACAATCACTTTTTCTATTGTTATTATTTTTTTAATTCCATACTATTCCAAGTACCAAACAACTCAATGTGTCATTGTGACATCGATGTCTTTCATGTTCAATCCATAGTTATACAATGCACAAATTTTCACTTATTGAATACTGTTATGTATCTTGCATGGTACAATTTACAGGCGGATGATTCTTGCTAGTGGGATGGAGGGTGTGGAAGGATTCCGCCAACGATGGAGCTTGCATGGTCGCCTTACTGATGCCAAGTAATTTCTGTGAAGCTCATCATGGATGGCAACATGATTTCTACAATTTTTATTCCCTCTCATGGTTATTCATGACTAGTTTCCATGTTTTTCATAGATATAGCATGTTAGTATTGTTACTGGCTATCTATAGATATGGTTGAGTTACTTTTGCTTTAAATTATAGCTGTCTACCATATTATCAGAATATGAAATGATTTGGATGTACCATTACCAATTAGCGTAGCCAAACATGTGAATGAATAGGTGATTGATGAGCTTACACGTACATGTAATTGTCTGTCACTTGGTAGTAATGCTTATTTTCAACAGTTGAGTTCGTATTGTTTTATATTCAGTTGTTTGACCACTGATGGTATGCAAATATTTTTCTATACTTCAAAATACTCCACTGGTTAACTTCAACCTAAAAATTTCATGCAGGAGAAGATTGGAGTCTTTGAAGAAGGGCATAGATGGGAGAAAGAAGGATGGGCCTGCGGGTGGTTCAACTTCCAAAAGATGGTTCTTCAGGTGAAGCTGCAGGTATTGCCCGCTTAATTAGTTCATAAGAGGTTTCCCTACCATGTATTTCTTTTACAATTTGAAGGGGGTTGCTATGTAGGGTGGCAATAGCTATATGTTTGGACATATCGAAGATGATGGAAATGATGGGTCTGTTTGATTTTCAATTTTTAAAAGCTGTTTCCAAGAACCCAAAAAAAAAAAAGGTGTTCTCATTTTTTGTTGTTTTTTAAATAAGAAAATGGATACATTTTAGAGTATTTTTTCCCCCCCTCCCCTTTTGGCTTTTAAAACCCACTAGGTTTAGTCACTGGAAGCTGTCACCACCAACTTTCACTGCCGTTACCTCCCGTTGCTCATCATTGACAATCATTGTCGTTCCCCATCATCGCCACCACTGGCCTTCGCCATTGGCCACCATTGAGGCATTCACACCCATCTTCACTAATCTCCATCATCATAAGCCCTTAGTAGTCATTACCATTAATTATTGCCAATGACCACCACAACCATCACCATTGTCAACCACCCCAACTACCAATGACGGAGCCAAGGCTCATAGCTAGGGGTGCAGAATAATTTAATAAAAAATTAATGTTTTTTAAAATAATAATTATGTTAGGCTAAAATTATAATAATATAAATAGATTAATTATCATTTTTCATTTTAAAAAATTATATTGAACATGTTGATATGGTCTTTTATTATAAATATATTTTTCATATTTTATTTAAATTATTAAAATGTTATATATCTAATAAGTTTTTTAAGCTCAAATATTTTTTATTTGGTTCAAAGAGTGCAAAATATTATAAGTAAGAGATGCAAAGTTGTAACATTTACATATTTCATTTGTAGTTTTCTTAATAGCAAGAGGTTGCATTTATACCCCTCAAGTTAATGTTACTACACTATTGCCAACTACCATCAACCAATGTTTTTAAAATTGGATCGGATATTGAATCGAAAAGGTCAACAGTTCACAGCTCGTATGGTTCAACTGGGTTGGATTAATGGTCGAATTGGTGATGTAATAATTAAATTAAAAATATTACATATGTATTTAATAATTTAAATGTAAAAAATAAATATGAAATTGCTACTTAACTTAAAAATAAAACTAAATATTTTAAGTTTATCCTAACTTAATATGATACAATATAATATTAAATGATTAAAAAAATTGGTTATTTGAAAAAAAATTGACAATATTTTAAAAAAAAAGAAAAAAGGCATTTTTTGAACGTACCCGATTCTCGACTTGATCTTAATCTTCGATTTAATCGCTAGTCCAAAGCAATCCAATCTAGCTGAACTCTCTAAACAGTTTTTTAAACTTGACTGAACTATTACCTTGACTAGTTGACAGTCTAGTCGGTCCAATCATCAAATTCGGTCTAATTTTTTAATCATTGCTATCAACCATTGCCACCTATTTTTGTTGACCACTATCAACCATCCTAGTCAGTAGCCACTGTTTAGCCATGGCTAACAACTACAATAGGTTGACACCACCAACCACTATTGGCTACCGCACTGGTGGTGGCTGTCAAGCAGTGGTGGCTGGAGGTGACTAAAGATTGACGGTGGCAGGTGGCAGTAACAATAGTTGGTGGCAATGATCGATGATAACTGGTGACAAGCTTGATGATGAGAGACATTCTTTCGGTAGAGATTTTTTTCCTTCCTTTTTTGAGTTTGCAAGGATTTCTCATGGCATGAATTCGTTGTTTGCTTTATTGAATTCACCAATACTACAAAGGTTAGAGTTGGGATTTGAATGACCTTGGGAGAATTTACTTTCTTGATCTAGGTTAAAGGATGAAGTTGGGAGTCTTTTGCCAGAATTTTGGACTCATGACATTGTGTATTTTCTCTAACCTTTCAGCGAGAAGTTTATCTCTTGGTGTAGCTCCACATATTTAACAGACTTTTTCACTGCTTTTTTTTTTTTTTGCCCTTTAAATATTGTTATTATTTGACTTTTTCTTTTTTTTTTTCGTTTTATTATGCGTATTTGACTTTTTATAAAAAAGGATTTTTTAACTCAGTTGTTTTCAAAGTAATGTAATTAGACATATTTTTCTTTTATTTTACTTTTAAAAATAATTTACAAAATATTTTTTTTACAAGTTTACAAAATAGTTTTTAAAAACAAAAAATAAACTGTCAAAGAATTGATGTTTTTAAATTACTTTGCTAGTTTTCTTTTTAGAGAGAATGGAAAATAAATCATAAATGACAAATAAATATTACGAAATGCAGCAATTATTTTGGAAATCCTAACTTAATTTTTTTCTGAATTATATTTCTGACTCTAAGTAAAATAATGAAAAATATAGTTATTATATAATTGTTAATAAAAAAGATAAAGTTAATATAAAAAAGTGTAGTTAATTTAATTATACACAAATAAGTATGTTTTCTATATTAACAATTTAAGTATTAATAATATAGTTTCAATTAGTCATAACTTAAATTTAGTCATGTAATAACAATTACGTTTTTTTATATTAACTTTACATTCGTACAACTTTAATTTATTTTCACAACCACTCATTTTATTATTTTTAGTCAGAAAAATGTAGAGCTGGGAATAAGGGTCGGGCCTAAAAGGCCAGGCTTAAAGATCCTGTTTAAATAAGAGTTTGGATTTTAAAAATAATTTTTTTTAAAATAGTCGGGCTTGAGGGCTTGGCTTTGATAAGCCCTGTAAAAAAGGGCTCGAGCTCGGGTAGCCCTTCAAGCCCTGTTATATTATTATTATTATTATTTTCTTTGGTAGAGCACGCATTTGAAGCCAATGACCTACTCACCTGATCATACACATATTATATTATTATTAATTTTAATTTATTCTAAAATTAATTTAATATAATTTAATAAATATCAGTGTATAGTACAAAATTTCTGATATTTTTTATTTTTCTATAATTATTATGTTTGTGTATTTATAAAAAATGAATTTTTTAACCAAGATTTAAATTTTATTACTAGACTCTTAGATGTGTATTGTTTAATTTTTAAAAAATTATGAGAATTTATTTTTTTAATTTTAGAATATTTTAATTAATTTATAATGTTTAATTTTATTTTTATTATTTTGAAAAAGGCTTGTGGGCCCAACCTTGAGCCATTTACATAAGGGTTGGGCTTAAAAAATGAGGTTCAAAATAGAAAATTGGGCTTTAGGGCTTAGGCCCTTAAGGGCCGGGCCCGCCCGTATTTTCAACTCTAAAAAAATGTAATTTGGCAGAAAATTTATGACAGTCCGTTGAAATTTTTAGAATAATTACCTTATTTCATGGTATTGTTTAACCATTTATTTATTGTAAGGAGATTTATTTGTCATTTTCCCTTCTTTCTACCTTATTAGAGAAAGTATAGGCTTTTGGAATGCCATAACACATTAATCTATGTAAATAATTTAAGAAAAATTAATCTTTTAATCCTTTAACTTTTAACTTATTTGTAACTCAGTCCCTCAACTATGACTCGCTACGATTTAGTCCCTCAACTATAACTAAATGTGACTCAATTTCTCAACTTTTGATTCACCTATAATTTGATCCTTATTTTTTAATTTTGTTAAAAAAATTTCTTATCAAATAAGAGGGATAAAAAAATGCTCATATATTATTCTAAAATACTCTCCTCTTGCTCATTGATGTGAGATATAAGCTAACATGAAAAAAAAATTAACAAAAGTTCAGGGATTAACTTGTAAGTGATTCAAAAGTTGACGGATTGATCATAAGCGAGTCATAGTTGAGAGACTGAGTTATAAGTAAATTAAAAGTTGGAGGATTAAAAGATTAATTTTTTTAATAATTTATATACATATTTTATATACCTCAATGGCTATTAAGTAGGCTAACCAAACACCCGTTTGAATTGACTCATTTTTTCCCCTCCTCCACAAGGCACATTTGACGCACGGTAATGCCCAGTAATTTCTTTAACGATCCCTGCAGTGACCCTTGGCAATTAAATGTGTTAGGACCTAGACCTATCTCAATTCTAGAATCCATAAGGTGCATTCTCGAAGGAATTTTTGGCGAGCAGATATGTTGTGGAAAATCTGCATCTTATTACGAAATTCAGCTCCGTCTTCCTTGCACTTGTATAGCCCTGCGCAAGCACATTGCTCAGCTAAATGAGCAGCTTTCACCTGGTAACATCTAACACACACCAGATCTTGCAAGTGATATAGTCGTTCTCTCTGCCGTACAATCTGAAGAAGGGCATTTTCCATCACTTCACGATCGTATGGCAATGCCACACCTGACTCAGTAGAGCTGAGTCACGGCACAAATCCAAGTCTCTGCAATCATTGCAATAGCTCTCCAAAAAGAGAATGGAAGTCATGTTAATAATGGGAAAACAAGTCTCCTTTGGGCCATGGATGACCAACCACTAGTCACGATGATCGATTGTGTTTGGATGGGCAACTGAGAGGTAGAGTTTTAGCTGTAACGGGTGGGCGTAGACTATATTTTAAGTGAGAAACAAGGGAGACTCTAGGTCACATTTGCATACTAGAATAAAATAAAATGGAAAGGATTAAAAAAATAAAGGTAAAAAAAGATAAGTAAAGGAGATATGTGAACTCATTTATAAGGAGTAGGGGTAATTTAGTTCATGAGATTAGGAATTTGATTCATGAATTTTTTAAAAAATGTGATGATTCTTACACATACAGTATATATTAATAAATTTTATCATACTTTCTATAGGGAGAAGGGTGGTTTAGTTCATTTTTATCTTAATTTTTTTTAATTCATTCTATTTTATTTTATTTTTTTGAATAGAAGGCCACAGGATTAACCCGTGCAAACAGACAATTTAGGTCTTATTAGCGTACAGAATGTTCATACAACCAGAGGGTGAATTATCAAAAATATGAACATTTAAATTATCGGTAGATGCTAAATGAGCCATCCGATCAGCGCATCTATTAGCTTCTCCAAAAACGTGGTTAAAGGTGATCGTCCAATCCCTCATAGTAAGTTCTCTAATGTTGTTGATAACAGCAGCAAGAGGATGGTTAGTAAAGAACTCTTTGCATATAAGCGTGAGCGCCTCTGTAAAGTATGTGTAGAGATTGACTTTGCTAAACTTTATTTGCCAACAAATGGTGAGACCTTCTAAGATGCTTATAAGTTC